TGCCTTCTGTAGACCAGTGTCTCAGTCCTGATCCTAGCCTTCTGTAGACCAGTGTCTCAGTCCTGATCCTTGCCTTCTGTAGACCAGTGTCTCAGTCCTGATCCTAGCTTTCTGTCCCTCAGAGGGTCCTTCCTGACCAAGAAGCAGGACCAGGCAGCCCGGAAGATCATGAGGTTCCTGCGGCGCTGCAGACACCGGTAAGAACCTGGAGTTCTGATGCTGCTGTTGTTCTTCTGTGGTTTTTATTGTTGTTTTTATTAATTGTTGTTGTGGTTTTTTATTGTTGTTTTTATTAATTGTTGTTGAGGTTTTTTGTTGTTGTTTTTATTAATTGTTGTTGTGGTTTTTTATTGTTGTTTTTATTAATTGTTGTTGAGGTTTTTTGTTGTTGTTTTTATTAATTGTTGTTGTGGTTTTTTATTGTTCTGCAGGATTAAGGAGCTGAAACAGACGAGGGAGCTGGAGCGAAGGGGGCTGACCACATAAGTCCTCCTCGGTGCTGGAGGACTGCTGGAGGCACAGAGGGACGGTGGACAGGGGGACGGAGACATGCCTTAAGCTTTGTTTATACTTCTTGTAAGACTGCGGCCCAGCGATGATGTAATTGTTTATACTGGGAAGACGTGGGGGATCCCTCCCACCACACAGCTGAGCATGTAAAGTTTTCTTCAGGTCCTTATTCTGATGTTGTGGACTGAGAACATGGACAGAACTCTGAACAGGACCAGATCGACACAGTTGTGTACCACACAGCTGTCAGTGCAGACTGAGGTTGTGTAACTGTTTGTCACTCAGCAGGTTGTAGAAGATGTGCAACAAGAAGTATAAAGCAGCCTTCAGTCCTCCACCTGTCCATCAGTCCATCATGGACCAAAGTCTCCAGCTGAATGAGCTGTGTGTCCCTCAGCTCGGTCTTACAGGCAGGTGTCTCTGTGTGAACCTGACCAGGTGTGCAGGCTCACCTGTTACCCACAATGCCCTGCAGCTGAACAGGACTCTTCTGTAAATCTTTATTTAATCTTTAGACACCCAGAGGAACCTATATTATTATTTATTACAGCATGAACTGTGTGCTGCACTGACTCAAGTCTTAACCCCACCCCCAGCTGCTGTTTCCATGGTAACCCCAGCATGACCACACCCCCTCTGCACTTTGTTTTGTTGCCGTGACGATTTGCACGAGTTTATGTTTTCTTCTTTTTCTGCTTCTGAAAACATGAAATGTTTGTTGTCCAAGAATAAATCAGGTGTTTATTATTGTCCTGTGTGGAGTCTGTGACCAGAACCAGCAGGTCCGGTCTGACCCGGTCCAGTCTGACCCGGTCCAGTTTACTGCAGAGGAACCACTGGAGGTTCTCCTGCAGGTCAAACGTTTTTACAGCTGAGTCAGATAAAACCAGGTCCAGTTCTGTGAGACCGTCTTTATTAGAAAAATCATCAGGTTAACATCACTGACCCTGGTCTCACACAGACACACACAACTGACACACACACCTGACACAAACTCAACAAATGTGGAATAAAAAAGTAAAAAAAAAACTTCAGGTGTTTTAGAAAAACTCCAGGTCGTCTGGAGTGTCCAGGTCTCTGTACTCGATGATGGAGCGGGGGTCTCCTCTCACAGCCCTGCAGACACACACAGACACACACACACACAGTATCACTGCAGTTAAACTGACACACAAGTCTGTCCTGACATGTTAGACCTTCATCAGACCACCCTGTGTGTGATTCAGGAAACAGTTTGTACAAGTACACGATGTCAGATCTGAACTCTGTGGAATCACATGTGGAGTTCCTCAGGGTTCTATACTTGGACCAAAGTTGTTTATCCTACATGTGAATGACTTGTTAATGTGTCGGGGCTCTTTAAATGTGTTTTATTTGCTGATGATACAACATTTTTTAGTTTGGGCAAAGACAGAATGAATGTTAGAAAAAATGCAATTAATTTGTGAAAATACAAAACTGGTGAAGATCACTGGTGAAGATCACTGGTGAAGATCACTGGTGAAGATCACTGGTGAAGATCACT